CCTTTTACTCAGCTTTGCAGATACTTTTGTCCTCATACACCTCTATACCTTGCTCATGCTGTAATTCTTAAAGCAGAATACCATTCCTCACTTGTTCCTATCAAACCGTATCTGTCTACTTTTAAAAACCATTTAAAACCATCTTCTACACACGCTTCAGGATTAACCTTTGTCTGTGTCAAGTAGTCCTGATAACTAAGTTTATCAGTAACCCAACCGTTTCTCAGCTCCTTGATTCATAAACACTTTTGCTTAATATTTATCTGAAGAGTGAAACTATCCCTGAGAGTATGTGCTGCTTAAGAAGGCAAGTGACTTAGAAAGGAGTTGAGAAGACTTTTCACACAAGATGATAAAAATTTGGGTGCTTTTAAAGCATAAAGTTTGGTAATCTGAAAAATCGACATCTCAGAATTTCCTGAAAATCATGACTGCTGAATAAACGCCAGCACATCTCATCTGCCTCTAGAAAAATGAAATATGCTTTTACGCCTTTCAAGTAACCAGGAAGTTAAACCAGGGGCACCCACTGCTGCCTGGCCAGGCATCTCTCACTCTGCACATGGCGGCATGAGACCAGAGTGGCCCTGGTGATGACAATGCTTCTAATTTATCTTCCCCGCCTTCACGCCTGATCCTCCTATCCACAGTGCCAAAGCTGTTAGCAGAACCTGACAATCCTCATGCCCTGTGTGTCCCTGCTCCAGTATCATTTTATGCCACCTACTCACAGCACCCAGTATCCATCACACCCCCACCTAGCCCCAAAGCTACCATTTTCTTCTTGAAATTTTATTCAAGTGTCGAGACCCCCCACCCCTGGCCAACTGAGTCTTTCTGACTCTCTCAATTAGATGGGCTCATTTCCTATCGTACCCGGCACAGCTGTGACAGTCCTGTGTGTGCTGTGTCCTCCTCTAGACCATGGACTCCTGAGGGTGCGAGCTCTTCGCCATCGACAGAGCTCAGCACATGTGGTGATCTGTACTCACCAAACCACACATTTTAAGCCAAAATGATCACAGTAAACAAATATTTTCCTTTAGTATTTCAGCTGTTGGCAAGTAAACAGGCATTTCTGAACTACCTGAACAGTCCAACCTGTTAATTCACTTACTCTCTTAGACTTATCCTTAAAGCTCATGCAGAGACCCATGACTTCCAGGAAAATGCCACCTGAGCTGCCCACCCACATTAGTGTGAACTTTCTAAAGATACCTGTTTAAGCAAGTAACGAAAACTGTGTGTTCCTCCTTTACCAGCGTGTGTGTCCTTCAGAAAAGGTACCAGGTCTTACACCCCTTCCCACAATCGCTCAAGACCTGGACATGGTATGCAGCGTCATCAGAAATGTGTTCTACCATTGTCTGATACCCCTGCAGGCTCAGCAGGCCCCTTTTCCAGAGATACTGAAACTGCATTTCCAGTCTTAACCATCACAGGTTCCACACCAATGATGAATAAATGCCCTCACAACCCCCCATCTCCACAGCAGCCACGGCATCTGCGTCTCTGTGTATCCCAGTGGCTGCATTCAGTAGGCCAAGTGCATGGAGCACTGACATTCATTTCGTGGTTCTGGAGTTTGTGCTGCACAAGTCACAATTCTGGACTGGTCCAGGGACAGTGGGACGTGGCTGAGGGAATACATACCCTTTTGACCCTCAAACTGCGGCGTTCGGTGGAGTTTCTCACGAACAGTGATTTTTTAGCCAGGGTTGAACTGTCACTGTCACTCCGATTTAACTGGCAACAAAAGATTTAAAAAAAAAATCACTGCATATCAAACAGAGTGCAAGCAGAAGTTTGGGACTGAGACATTTACCAAGTAAAGCAGGTAGTGATAGTTAGGAGTTTATTTTTTTAAGACAATCCCCTCAAATAAGTTTTTCCTGTTCTGTTTCGTTAAATAACTTCATTTTCTTAAATTATTTATTTATGTATTTTTTTTGAGACAGAGTCTCACTCTGTCACCCAGGCTGGAGTACAGTGGCATGATCTCGGCTCACTGTAACCTCTGCCACCCAGGTTCACATAATTCTCCTGCCTCAGCCTCCCTAGTAACTGGGATTACAGGCGCCGCCACCACGCCTGGCTAATTTTTGTATTTTTAGTAGGGATGGGGTTTCACCATGTTGGCCAGGCTGGTCTCGAACTTCTGACCTCAGGTGTTTCGCTCCCCTCAGGCTCCCAAAGTGTTGGGATTACAGTCATGAGCCACCATGCCTGGAAATAATTTAAATAGCTGCCTTTTGGTAGTGGCTATCAAAAATCATATGTTTAAGCTACTTATATATTTTTTTAAATAAAATTATCCTTTGTATTTTTAGCTAATACATGATATTTGTTTCTTTAAAGAAAGGTCTGCACAAAGCACTGAGCTCAAGGTCAGAGTTGAGACAGTCTGTGCTATCTAGAATGCTCTCAGCCCATATAGCCCATGCCCACTGTCTCCTCTGCTTCAAATCTTTACTGAAATGCAGACTGCTCTGAATCCTGCGTATTACCCCCAACCCCCTGGCACTACTGTTGTCCATAGCATTGATCCCCTTCCAAGATACTTCACAGCTTGTTCATCATATTTACTGCTTGTGGTCTGGCTCGATTCACAGGAACGTAAACTCTACAATGGCAGGGCTCTGAGTCTCTTGTTTCTAAATGAATCCCAAGTATCTAGGAAAGTGCTTAAAAGCAGGTGCTTAATAAAAACGTGTTGAACTGAATGAATAAATTTAGAATTTAAAAAGGGATTTCTAACCCAGTTTATAATATTATGTCTGTCTTACTAGATAAATCAGAAATACTTTTAGAAGTAGAATTTGGCAAATTGATACAAATCTTGTAATTTTCTTCACAGAACTATGGATGTGATCAGTGTTTATAAGCATTATTAAAAGAGGATTTTTGCTCTAAAATGCAATTCACAATTCTCAGTTCAACAAGACTAACATGGTTTGAAGGACACAAGATATAGAATAGAAATATACAGACCACATATATCTCAAAAAACCACTTTATGTTTCTAAATACAGACTGAAGTCCAAATAACGTACGAATACTTGGCACTCCAATCCTTAAACTTTGCTTACTTGCCAAATAAATCACATTGCAACCAAGGAGACATTAAATTTGACGGCAAAACAAACAAACTGAAAAGGACCATAAGCATATGATATTCTACGTCTATTTTATAGCATTTCTAGCATTTGTAGTTGTCATGTGAAGACTCCCAGTGCACAGTCTTCTCCTTTGCAGGCCATTCCCTACCAGCAGGGAAGAAGCTGCAGTCCCAGAGCCTCGCCACGCGCGCCACCACCTTACCCTGCAGATGTACTGGCTCCGCTCTCCGGGAGAAAAGGTCTGTGAGCGCACTATCACACTGCTCCTCACAAAGGGATGCTGTCTAGAGCTCAGGCTGCTGCGCTCTTTGGGGCGAACTGCCATATTGTCATTAGCGGCTTCATCAGTGTTTGTCTCTTTGTCAACCTATAAGAGAAGTTAACAGCTTGTCAGGAGCTGAAAGATGTGTAAACATTATGCTCCTTTCTTCTAAGAAAGAAAAAATATCTAATGTTACAACAGAGACTCATGGAGCACTATGGCCACTCCTAAGAGAAAGGCTTTGCATTACAGACTATAGTACTTCTGAAGTACTTCTGGGGAGAATTTCTCTTCAGTTTTCTACCAAGAGTGGCTTTCTGCTAAGTTCTTAGGAAGTTCTGCACAGCGGGCAGTGTGAGTTCTTGGGAAGTTCTGCACGGCAGGCACTGTGGTATCTGTCCAACAAGCACCATAAATAGAGGTGCTGCCTCCACAAGGTCGAACATTAGAATGAAGGTTTAGATTTAAAATGATTTTATAAAGAATCCTATTTGGGTATATATCATCATTAAACTTTATTCAACTTTCTGATTACACTGTTTTCCAAATAAATGATAAAGATAATTAAATATAAGAAAATGAAATATACCACCAACTTGTAGGTTTAAATAGAATATGCAATTATACATGTATAAACATAATTGTTGTGAAGCTGAGTTGTATTTTTACTGGATCTTTAGAAATGTAACAAAAATAAAACTTAAGTAAAAATGGAAGTTTCTCAAAATACAAACTCAGTAGGCATAGGCAGATGTCTGTTTTTTATCTTATAGGTATAATTTGATTCCAAACCTGCCTCTTGATGAAAGTTTGCTCCTTTGAGAAAGGAAGTTCTTAGGGCATAATATTATTTTCTCAGGAATACAAAATTATAATTTTCTAAACTCTATTACTAATATCCCCAGTGTGTGGGCATCCTCAAAGCTTGAAAATATTTTCCCCATATGGGGTTGAGAGTCTCAATACATCTCTCACTTAACTAGCAAAGTTACCTGTTTAATAACTTGGCTGGCACTTGTGCCTAAACTAAGTCACCTGTCACCTTTCCAATCAGGGCATCGCCTAACCAAAATGAACTTTAAACGTTTACTTCATGTTTGAAATGGAAATAAAGCTTGCTACATATACGGAACTTGACACAAGACACCCTGTTATTATCCAAGGAATTCAGAAAATACTTTTAATATTCACAGAGTATTTATAGAGATTTAAAGTAGCTAGAACTATTTCTCTTCTTATATATTCTCCAAATATAAGTGGAGAATATTTTGGGCCCATTTTAAAACTTTAAAGCATTTATGATGCTTCTCAGAGCCTGTTCCCACACACGCCTTTCACGATCAGCTTTCGGCACAAAATCCTGACACGGAACTTATACCTAAGGAGACAGGCACGCATCTCCCTAGTCCACATGGTGCCTGTGAGGCATCAGTTTTAAGACAGAACAGTGGAATAGTCACCAGTGTTGGTATTCCAGTAGGTGGCTGACTTCTGAGGTCTTTGGCACAGTTGTTTTCTTTCCTGTTCCCGTCTTCGTTCATCTCAGGCACACTAGCGCATGAACTTAAATCTTCTGTACAGTTACTGTCCTCTGGCAGTTTAACTTCAGCCTCTTTTTCAGCCACAATCTCGTTAGAGGCCTCTCTCAGCATTGTTAGCCTACGGTAAAACAAAAACAACACACTTTTGGTAGGCAGGCATGCTCCATGAACACGCAGCCTGGGCATGCTAAGTTGTTATCTGGGAAACGAACAGACTGACATATAATGAGCCAAGCCATTTCTTTGGCTGGGGTTTTTAACTAAATGTCTCATAAAAAATAAAATCCTCACTTCACCCTCTAGTAACCTGTAGCAAAATCACCATAATGTGGTATTAAAAAGTTAAACTCATGAAATTTAACCTAATTTCTAGATATTAAAATAGACATATTCTGAAAATTACATATAGAGTTTAATGTTTGTTAGCATTTAAAAATATTGACACTCACTATAAAATAACTTGGTATTCGTTGTTCATTTATTGTACTAGACATATTCTGAAAATTACACATAGAGTTTAATGTTTGTTAGCATTTAAAAATATTGACACTCACTATAAAATAACTTGGTATTCGTTGTTCATTTATTGTACAATTAATCATATAATAGAATGGAGTTACTCTCAGCTAAGAGTGAATAAATAAGTAAGGATTTTAAATACTCATTTTATTGTGTGCGCTCACGGTCTAGCAGGGAGAATCCTATGTTAAGGAAGTTTTTCTTCTAAACTAGCAGAAGACTCATTTTTAACAAAAGCCCTGGCACGGGCTGAAGTGGCATTTTAAGTGGTGTAAGTGGTGCTCCAGAAGATAAATACCGCTTATATGGAATATATAAAGCAGGAGTACTAGGATGGTTTAGAACATCTCATACTCTGTTGAGTTTCATGTTCTCCGAACGCAAACATTCTTTCCATTGATAACTAAATGTTCAGCTTTAATTTGTCTGGTGACATAACGACAAACTGGCACAGACTAGTTAATAAATGTCTAGCCATGAAGTGAACATAAGGGGAACCATTAATGACTACTATGAGTTATAAATTTCTTTGTTTACATAGTAAGTGTACTGTTTGGAAATATGTGTGAAACAAATTGTATTTTACATATATGAGAATTACTATTTAAAGATACTATAATGAACCTTATAATCACTCTTATATTTTCATATGTATTTGTTTTGCAGTGCTGTGACTTTTATTCACTATGAAGGACTTTTGATAAAGACAAAGTATATCTATATCTTTTTACATCACAGTAGAAAGCTATTCCTTCCAAATGTCCATGACTGCGTTATTTATGATATACTTTGTCACTCTTAAGTTTCTAAAAAGTTTTCTATATACACACATACAAATGCATGCTATATATGTATACGCACGTGTTAACAGTAGTTCAACTGAACATAACAGTCTAAACAACTATATATCAAAAATTAACTCAAACGATTTTACATATATATTTAATGAGTGAAATATTCACTCAAATTTGTTTTAAGAGAAAACAGTACAATCCAGGAAGGATAGCTCTTTATATATATATGAACCTGGACAAAAACTGTAATAACTTCCCTCTCTGCCCCCCTTTTTAAAGGATTGGGTATGGATAAAGGGAAGGACACAGAAAAAGGTAAGAGTGGTAACAAACAGAGAAATGAGTACTCAGAAGTTGTTTTTTAAATACCTGCTTTGTCTTCCTAGAGCCTAAATGGTACTTACAGGTAGTTAAAAGAAAAATAGAGTCACTTTTAAAATTATAACTCTACAATAAGCTACCATATCTATCAAAATCAAGTTTTGACTTAAAAAAAAAAAAAGCTCAGAAAATAGTGTTTTAAAATTACTCGAAACAAGAACAAAGAATCTGGCTAATGTTTTAACTTTGCCCACAATCTTGCCGTTACTTCCTTAACTCTCTAATGACCAAGGAAAGACTTTTCCTAGCATAGCTTCCTGAAGGTGCAGTGCATTCCATAATTCTGGAATAAAACATGAGCCTACAAAGGTTTCATTGTAAGATGTGTAAACACATCATCTTTGAGTTCCCAATAGCAAAAGGAAATAACTGTTTAACCAGTCTCCATCTGGACCCCTTTGCTCTTCTTGTCCTGATTCTTCTTCTTCTTCTTCTTCTTGTGCTAATTCTTGTTCCACAGCTAACAACTCAGCTGATGTTCTTGCAAGTAAGGCTGACACTGCATCCTGGAGAATGGAAAGCATATGGCAATTAACATCATATCCTTGAAGAAATGATTTAAAAACTCATCAGATGGGAATTTACACTACTATCTGTAAAGAAGATTCAACTCTCCTGCTGAAAACAAATATGAAAGCTGAATAAAATAGAACCCAAAACAAGCAAAACCTCTCAGCTGTTTTAAAGCAATGAAGAGCAACAAAGGCAATCAGGACTAGAGGGCCAAGATCCCAGGCAGAACAGAAATATAATAAGGTGAGCCATTGTCACTCTTTTCCCTTAGGGTATTTGTCAATTCTAGTGGTGAGGTACACAGGCTAAACAGACTGTGGCTGCCTAGAACAGTGACAATGTCAGTAGGATGGGAAGACTAAAATTGAGTTCAGGACTACCAAGGCAGTCAACTCACAAGAGGTTAGAGAAAATGAACTGTAAAGTGAGCTCAATATTCTGCATGATATTCCTGTCATGGCATTTGCCATTCCTAAGCTGCCTATATGCAGAGCAAGAAGCTGAGAAACAAAGCAAAAAAACAGCTGCTATCAGGCTAAAATAGTAAGCAGATATTTCCATTGTGCCATACAGTCTTATAGAGAGTAAAACTGGAATTCAGGTCCCCACATAATTCAGGTAAGCTACCCATATTGTCATTTGCCTTTCAGAAGAATATAAAATCCTCTCTGGAGGAAGATATCAGTCAGTTATCCTCATACGTAATATCCAGTATTTCATTAGGACCTAAAGAGTGAAAGTCAAGAGAAACGATAGCCAAATAAGGCAGACCCACAGATGATCCATATACTACAGGCACTGAGAAAAACATTTAAGTTTTTATGAATAATATGCTCAAAAAATTGAATGAAATGATAAAGAATTTCAGCGGTATAAACAAAAAGAAAATCACATTAGCATATCAGAGTGAAACTGCTGAAGAATCTTACAAGCAGTAAAAGAAATAATGCTCTATGACCCAACCATTAAGTCGTCCTCCAAAAGCTCCACAGAATCAATGGAAGCTAGATGACAATAAAATGATATTTTTAACATGTTCAAAGAAATAACTGCAGACCTAGAATTCTGAATATGCAGCAAAAAAACCATCCTTCACAAATGAAGTTGAAATAGATACTAACAGGTCTATAGTAAAAGAAATATTAAAGGGAATTCTTTGAGCAGAAGCAAAATATCTCAAATGGAAGCACAATAATGCAGAAGGAAATAAAACATAACAAAAGGGTAAAAATGTGAGGAAATCTGAATGAATACTAATTGTCAATGAAACAATAATAATATAGTATGAGATTCAAAATATATGACAATAATAGCAGAGAAGGAGGAAAGGGTATAAAATGGAGTTAAAGTCTTTGAAAATCTTTGCATTGTCTGGGAAAAAGTAAAGGAATTGATTTATGGTAGTTTTTAATAAGTTAAGAACTCATGCTATAATCTCCAGAGAAACTGCAAAAAATAAAAGACTGTAGATCTAGTAGACGGGAAAATGAAAATTTAAAAATAATTCAAAACAAGGAAAGAAAAAGAATAAAGATGGAATTAAAAGAAAACAAATAGGAAGATAATAGGATCAAACCCAAATATATCAATAATAGCATTAAAAGTAAGTGAGCTAAATATTTCAATTAAAAGATGAAGATTTTAAGACTGGATAATAAATCAAAACCAACTACATATTGCTTATACGTAGAATACTTTAAATACAGTATTTCAGAAAGGTTGAAAGTAAAAGGATGAAAAAAGATCAACCACGCAAACACTAACCCAAGAAGGCTGACATATAGCTTTACTAACACCAGACAAAGTAGATTTTAAAACAAGAGGTATTGCTAGAGATAAAAAGGAACACTTCATAATGATAAAAGGTTCAGTTGAACAGAAAGATGCAATGCAATGCTAAAGGTAAATGCTAAATTTACTTTACCTAATAACAGACTCAAAAAGCAATACTTACACGTCTAAATAGACTGAAGTACAGAGATAGAATTTGTTAACAAAAACTTACACACACACAAAAAGTACAGGACTGGATGGCTTCACCTGTGAATTCTATGAAACATTTACAGAAGAATTAATACAAATTATTCTCAAACTCTTCCAAAAGGTAGAATGCTTTCTAATTCATACTATGAGGCCAGAGTTAGCCTGATAAAAACCAAAGCTATCACAAGAAAACTATGAATACAGACACAAAAATCCTCAATGGAATATTAGCAAACTGAGTCCAACAACATACAAAGGATCTACACTATGACCAAGTGAGATTTATCCTAGGAATGCAGGGTTGGTTTACCACTTGAAAATCAATTAATACATTATATCAATTGAATAAAGAACAAAAACCACATGACCATCTCAAGAGATGCAACAAAGGCATTTTACAAATCCAACAGCCTTTAATGATGAAAAGCAGTCAACAAACTTGGAAAATAACTTTTCCTCATTCTGATAAAGGACATCTATGAAAAAGCCATGGCCAAATTCATACTTAATGGTGAAAGGCTGAAAGCTTTTCCACTAAGATCAGGACCGAGACAAGGATGTCTGCTCTTACTACTTCTTTCAATATTGTTTGGGAAGTTCTAGCCAGGGCAAATAGGCAAAAAAAAAAAAAAAAAGAAGAAAAGAAATAAAAGGCATATGGCTGGAAAGGAAGAAGTAAAATCACCTCTATTTGCAAACAATATGATCTTATAGAAAATCTAATGGAAACCACTAAAAAAACTATTAGAATTAATAAATGAGTTCAGTAAGGTTGCAGGATACAAGACAAATAAAATCAACTGTGCAACAATTAAAAATGCAACTGAGAAAACAGTTCCACAGTAGCTGGGGAGAGTAGGGAGGGTGAGGAGGAAAAGGGAAAGGTTATTCAACGGGAACATCAAGTTACATTTAGAGAGGCAGAACAAGTTCTGCTGTTCTAATGTCCAGTAAGGTGACTATAATTAACAACATTGTATTATATACTTCAAAACAGCTACAAGAAAGGATTTTGAATGGTCTCATCACAAAGAAATGATAAAAGTTTCAGGTGATGGATTTGTTAATTTACCCTGATTTGATCATTACATAATGAATACATGTACTGAAACATCACACTCTTTCAGTGAGTCCTCAAACTTTGTTTTAAATGATTAAAACATTTACATGATGAAATATCTGATATAATTTATTGATTTTCAAGTGTTAAACCAACCTTGCATTCCTAGGACAAATCTCACTTGGTCATGTATAGATCTTTTTTATGCTGTTGTATGGGGCCATGTTGAACAAAACTTTTAAAAGCCTGGTTCCATTCACAATAGCATCAGAAAGAATAAAATACTTAGAAATAAATTTAACAAAAGAAGTCGCACACTGATCCTTTTGTAGTTCCTAAGTGTGATGATTAGGTTTTCATGCTCATGTGTGACATATGCCTCCTTCAAATCTCATTAGGACATCAGCACATTACCCATCTGACATAAAAAGAAAAAAGAAAAATGAAAGAAATGCAAACTTTGACTCTGAAACTATGAAATATTATTGAAAGAAATTAAAGACCTAAATAAATGGAAATATATCCTATGTTCATGGATCAGAAGACTTAGAACTGTTATGATGACAGTATCTTCCAAACTGACCTACAGGTCCAATTCTACCCCTGTGAAAATCCTGGCTATCTTTTTTTGCAGAAATTAGTAAACTGATACTAAAACTCTTATAGAAATGCAAGGGACTCTGAATAGCCAAAATAATCTTTAAAAAGAAAAACAAAGTTGGAAGACCCACACTTCCTGATCTCAAAATGACTACAAAGCTATAGTAATCAAGGCAGTGTGGTACTAGCTTAAGTACAGACATACGGATTAATGAACAGGATTGAGAGTCCAGAAATATAAACCCTCACACTTGATTTTCAACAAGGGTGCCAAGATAATTCAAGGGGAAAGAACAGTTTTTGCAATAAATGGTGCTGCGACAACTGCATATCCACAAACAAAAAGACAAAACTGGATCCACATTAACGACTCAAATGAATCAGAGACCTAAATATAGGACTTTAAAACTCTCAGAAAAAGACCCAGGGGTAAATCTTTGTGGTATTAGTTTAGGCAAAGCAGTCTTAATTATGATACCAAAAGTACAAGGATTTTTAAAAAATTGATAAACTGGACTTTTAGGAAAATTAAAAACTTTTGTGCCGTA